AATCCTGAACTCCAGCCCTGGGTTTGGATAATTAGAAGCAGGTTCTATGGAATGGTTGGAAGAATATTTACAGGTCCTTCCAGAAAGGACTGATTCTGCAGACTGCAGTGCTGAACAACCCCTTTCCAAATAACTTGACCAGCTACAAACACCAATCAGTGACTTTAATCCTGAAACTGGCTACTTAATAAAAAACATTTTATGTCTCTTTGAGCTTAAAAAGTCGTATGTTGTTATTCAGACAGTTTAGTGACAGGGAGCTCAAGGAAACAAATCCAAGAAAAAGCTGATTAGAAATCTGGATGGTTTTCTTACAGAAGTCGGGCAGCTGGAACTTCTGTTACACACAGAAGAAAAACATCCATACTTAAAAAAAAAAAAAAGCAAAACCCTGTTTTATCAGCTTTTTCCTTCCAAACCTACACAACCTGGGAACAGAGAAGCTGAAAAATCAGGTGTAAGCATTTCCATGCCCTGGTGTAACATTTAACGTTCTTTAAAAAGAAATTTAAAAATCGTGGGGTTACTGTGAGCACAAGGCTCAGACCAGGCCACCCCTGCACTCTGCCAGACTACAGAGGGAACAGAGGGAATGCCTGTCCACGGGAATGCTGTACACATGGAATAAGCTTATTTGAACAGCATTTTCCACGCTGTGTTCACGTACCTTGTACAAGTGTCCTATCAATTCTGGTTCTGAACACTGCTTTTTTAGAAGCAGTTGAGCTCTCACCTAAGTAAGAAAGGGAAAATAACATTGAAACCACACAGATACCAACAAATCCTCACATTTTACCATCACAGAGAAGGACTCTGATGTTAGTCATTCACCCCAGCACCATTTCCCAGTAAAAAAAGGCTGCCAAAATAATTCAATCTAACCAGATAGTGCACAGACACATCCTTGAGTCAGGAAACCAAGCTCATGCAGAGCCCCACAGGAGCACTTACTGTAATTGCTGTAGGTGTGAATTACGATGCCCACCTGGCATGGTGTGTCCATCGAGGCACAGGTTACAGTTACACCACTACTGCTGAGCCTCACTGCCCTGAGGACACAACTCCAGCCTCACACCCCCCATCACCTTTAGTGATCCCACAGCAGAGCGCCTGGGGGGTTCCTCGCCCAGATTTCCTTCCTCCTTTCAGTCCCCCAAAGGCAGGAGGGAGTGGAGCAGCAGTGGGAGGACCCTGGGGCTGAGTGAGCCCCACACCCCTCGGTCACAGTGGGGGCTCTTCGGGGTTTGTGCAGCCACCTCACCCTGTAAATCATGGCAGGCTAAAAATGGCTGGGTGACGAATGTGGAGGTGAATTGTGAGCAGGGCACTTGCTCTGGGATCACAGAGCAGCAGCCATGAGCAGGGCTGAGCAGAGGCCTCGCTCTCCTACACCGGGGAGAGGCACAGAGTACGTTTATGTGTGACAGCAGAAAGGGCACGGGTAGAAAACTCTTCCTTGGGTGGGAAAGGAGCCCAGGCAGGGCTGGGTGTCATCTCTGTGAGCCATTATCTGAACTTTTTTGCTGTGGCCCGGCAGTTCCGGTTACCATGGAGTGAGGCAGTGCAAACACCATTCCCAGCTGGCACGAAACGTGATCCCGTGATTTCACTATTCATAGCTCTGACACGGTAAAGCTAAATTAAGCAGGAACTCTTTAACTTCTCCAACCTGCCAGCAGTGACTCCCTCTCCTCTGCTAACACAGTTTCCCAGTGCAGAGGGGAAGGATGTTTCCCTTAGGGCAGGAGACTCCAGCCCCACACACCCCGCCTGTCATCCGGAAACAAAATGGCACCGGCTCCTTCCCAGCCACCACCTCAGCCTGGCTCCAGCAGGAACACACACCAGATGAGCTCCTGGGCCAAACAAACACCTTCCTCTCTTGGGACTCGCTACAGAACCCCACTGAGCAGCCTAAGCCTCAATGCCAGGCCTGCCCAGGAGCAGGGGCAGCTCAAGGTGCAGCAGCACAGCTCCACTGCCCACCGGTCCCTGCCGCACCATTCCCTGGCACCATCACCTGGCACAGGCTCCCCAGGGACCCAGAACAGCTTCTGCAATCAGCACCACCCTCCTTCTCTCCTCCAGTACCCACGGCCTGAACTACACGGCTGAACACCCCGAAATTCCTGCCTTGGCGAGGAACCCCTGCACCCCCAGAACTCCGAGGAAACCACACCACGCTCCTGCCCTGGCACATGCAGCCACCAAACACAGCTCAGGATACTGTGAACTCCCCCAGATTTGGAGAAAAAGTTCCAGGGCTACGTGGCTGCTCAAACAATTAGTGAGTTCCAACACAAAATCTGTCGTTACACAAGGACAAAGCCAAGTGAGCTCAAAAACACTCAAACTCCTGGCACAACTGCACTGTTCTTTCAGGGACACAAGTGGGGGCCACCACGGCCTCACAATGAAAAGCATCCTCAGGCTCGTCCAGCCCTGCCCAGCATTCCCCAGTCCTCCCAAGGCAGTATTTCTTTTCCAGCAGAGAAAGAGGGAGCAGGTAGAACAAATTTAGATCTGCTGACGGACGTGGATCATCGCTTATTCTATGTCCTGATGTTTTATGCACATCACATTTTTGTTTTCCAGTAGCAGCACCCATGTGAGAAGGTGTTCACCAGCTCTCCTGAGGCACATCAGCCCCAAACACCTCACCCTGAGCCCACAGGCCTGGCCTGCCCTGAAGGACAAAGCTTTGCTTTCATGACAGAGAACAGCAGTGAAGTCAAGGTCAGGGCACACGGCTGCTCTGAAACCCCAGCACACAGGGAAACCTCTTCCCACACATCACCTCCTGAAGCACTGACAGCACCACCGCATTTTCCAGAGACAGGGAGCTCACGGAGAGCCCTTCCCTTGCTCTGTGCCAGGCAGGCTGTGAAGCGCTGGAGCAGGACACAGAGGAGCCTCGAGACACTCCAGGACAAGGCCCTGCCGTGTCCTAACGCGCGTTTTTCTGTCCCTACAATGGACTCCCCTCAAGGCAACCTGAGAGGGGAAGCTCCAAAACACCTCTTGGCTGAGTGGAGCCCAGGTCATGGCAGCCAAGCCCAGCACCCACACAGGGCAGGGAGAGCCCACCCAAAATGTCACACCCCACCAGCACTGACAGAGCACCTGTCCTCGCTCCCCCCCGCAGGGAACACTCAGGAGCCCTTCCAGGGAGCAACTGGATGATTAAACTGTCTGTGCTCTCAGCAAAGAGCAGCCTGCTGTGGCCCTGCAGCAATAAAAGCTCTGGTCTCCCACCTCAATGCACACTCCAAAATCAGGGAGTTCCCAGCTCCCACAGCCCCACGGGGAAACTGTTGCACACACACAGGCACACGGCAGTTCACCTCCCAGGGCAGGACAGGGAATGGCTCACACGGAGAGCAGGTTTAGATCAGAGTTTAGGGAGAACTCCTTCCCTGGGAGGGTGGGCAGGCCCTGGCACAGGTTTGCCCAGAGAAGCTGTGGCTGCCCCATCCCTGGAAGTGTCCAAGGTTGGTGGGAGGTGTCCCTGCCCACGGCACAGGGTGGCACTGGATGGGCATCAAAGTCCCTTCCAGCCCAAACCATCCTGTGACTCTATGGAGAACTGCTTATTCCAGACTTATCACGTCACCTTCTGGCACACAAACACCCAGAAACGCACCCAGGAGGAACTACAGTGACGATCACCTCGTGCAGAGCTTGAAATATATTTGTAGAAGCCTCCGGCATGTTTATTTCCCCAAATCAGTAAAACTGGGGAAGAAAACCTCTCATCGCCCTGGGAGAAGCAAGGCTCGGGGCTCCCACGTGGGTCTGAGCCGCCGCAGCGGCCCTGCTGCCACATCACCTGAAGTTCTGCCAAACTTCACGATCCAGCAACGCGATGCAGAGCGGGGAAGGCGAGGGCACAAACCCACCGGGGGCGGGCGGTGCCGAGCGCCGGGGACTGACCCTGCGGGAGCCGCACACCGGCACACCCGGCCCGCCCGGCCCCCCGAGCCGCGGCAGCGCGGCCGGACCGCGGGGGAACCTCCGGGGCGCGGGGGAGAACAGCGATGCCCCGGCACGGGGCAGGGGATGGGTCAGAGGGGAGCGGAGCGGGGCGCGGGCGGTGCCGGGACGGGCCCGGGCGGGCCCCACGGGCACGGGGAGGCGCCGAGGCCTGGCCGGGCCCGGCCCCGCCACGAGGCATGGCTGGGGCCGCGCCGGGCCGGCCCTGCGGGCTGCGAACGAGCCCGCCCGGGGCGCGGCGGGGCCGGGAGGGCGCGGGGAGGGCTCGGGGACAGCGCCGCGGGGAGGCCCGGGCGGGGCGCGGGGCGCAGAGCCGGGCGGGCGCGAAGGGGAAAGGGAAGGGAGGAGCGCGGTGGCGGCGGGGCAGGGTCCCGGCGCACAGATCCCCGGCCCGGGGCAGGGTCCCGGTCCCGGCCCCGCTCCCGCCGCCCTCACTCACCGGCCCCGCCGCGGCCGCTCCGCGCCAGGCGCCCCCTCCGCCGCCGCCTCGCGCACTTCCGGCCCGCGCGCGCGCGCGCTGCCCGCGCCGCGGGGGCCGCCGGGAGCCGTAGTCCAGCCCGCTCCGCGCTCCCGCCGCCCGCCCGCCCCGCCGCACTACGGCTCCCGGCGCGCCCCGCGCCACCGCCCCTTCCGCCTCCGCCCCGCCGCGCCGCGGAGGGAGCGGCGCTTCCGGGAGGGGGGCGGAAAATGGCGGCGGGGGCGGTGCTGGTGCCGGGGCTGCCCCGCCCGGCCCGGCCCGGCCTCCTCCGGCCCTGGGGGCTTCCTGGGCCTCTCTGTGCCCGGGCCCGCGCTCCCGGTTTGTCCCACGTGCAGAGGGTGCAAGGCCCTGCTGGGCGTTTGGGGCCGCGGGGACAAGAACCCCCCGTCCCGGGACGGAGCCATTGGCGAGTGGGCAGCGCTGGGGGCGAGCCCGGGGCATGGGGCCGAACCCGCCCCGCTGCTGCCGGGGGCCCGCAGAGCGCCCAGCCCGGCCCTGCCCTTCCCCGGACGCAGCGAGGCACGACACGGGCATTGTCCACTTTTATTGTTGGCAAAGGTTGTCTGGATGCAATAACACTGTCACAAGGGCACAGAGCAGCGTGGTGCCGGCCGGGCCCGGGGGCACCGGGCACACGGACACGTGGAGAGAACACGCGTGGGGATGGGGAGCTGTGACCCCTCTCCCTCGAGCTGCCCCCGGGGCACCCCCGCGCCCGGCCGGCTCTATTTACAGTATTCACAGACGTTGTACCCAGCGAGTTAAATAACTACATCGTTACACCACACGTCTGGGGCGGCTCCGGTGGGCTGCGGGGGTGGGGGCTGTCAGTCTGATAAGGTGCATGTTTAAAATAAAAATAAAAAAAACCAACAAAACGAAATAAAAACGAGGACAGAGAAGAGAGGAGCCAGGCGTCCCCGCCGGGGGGGTCCCACAGCCCCCCCGGGGGAGCGGCGAGGGTCACGCTGTGACGGCAGCTCCGGCTCCGGGCGGGCTCGGGGCGCAGGGGGCGGCCCCGTGGGGGCTCAGCCGGGCCCTCACAGCACCTCTGCGGGCAGGGAGAGCGTGGGGTGAGCCCCGGGCGGGCACAGAGCTGTGGGCACAGAGCTGCGCCCCTGCCCTCCCGCCACTCACCTGTCACCTGCGGGGGCTTCACCACGGCCTGCTTGAGGAAGGGCTCCTTGTCTCCGAAGGGGATGATGCTGCCGGGGCCGCCCCCGTGGTGCGGGAGGTCCCGCAGCTCCTTGGGGCCCTCGGTGCCCGCGAAGCCGTTCTCGTGCTTGCCGGCCTGCACGCCGTTCACCAGGGCCGCCGCCTCCTTGGCGCTGGGGGGGACGGAGGGCTGGGGTCACCCGGGCCCCGCCGCCCCCGGCCCCCGGCGGCCCCGCGCTCACCTCGGCTGCAGCCCCTCGCCCGCCGGGCCCTTCGTGCCCCCCGGCGTCCCCGCGCTCGGCGGCTCCGTCTCCGGGAGCTCCTCCGCCTTCGGGATCGGCCCCGGGTGCTTCTCGCGGCCTGGGGGGGTCACAGAGCCCTGCTCAGCCCCAGCCTGGGCCCCAGCGGGGCTGGGGGAGCGCGACCCCCGGCACCCCGAGGTGCCCACGCACCTGGGGCATCCTCCTGCTCTGCCGCCTTGCCGTTCACCACCTTCTTGTCCTCCTTCTTCTGCAGGGACAGCAGGGCCGTGAGGGGCGGCGGGGGCTGCGGACAGGGGGGTTCTGCACAGACCCCCGTGTCCCCAGCACCTCGGGGCAGGGGACAGGCCCCCACCTTGGCATCTGCTGCGTCTGACTTGCGCGTCCTCTTCATGATCTCCTCCAGGCGCTGAGGGCACACACAGGGGTCACACGCGGCCCTGGAGCCAGGCAGGACCCCCTCTGGGGAGCACCCTGCTGTGCCCTGCGCCCAGGGGTGCCCACAGCCCTCACCTTCTTCCTCTCCAGCCGCTCCTGCTCCTCACGCTGGAAGTGCTTCTCCCTCTCCAGGCGCTGCCGCTCAGCCTCTTCCCGTGCCCTCGCCTCAGCCTCTTCCCTCTGTGCCAGGGCAGGGCAGGGACAGGTGAGATGGGGCAAGGAGGGCTGCGATGGGACAGGGACAGTGGGGACAGGGCAGGGACAGTGGGGACAGGCTGCCACCCTGGGCGTCGAGGGGCTGGGCTGGTCCTCACCCCTGGATCCCGCTGGAGAAGGAACCAGAGGAGAGCATCCCTGCCTTTCCCCTCCATCCCCACCTTCATCCTCCATCCCTGCCTTCCCCCTCCATCCCCACCTTCATCCCCCACCCCTGCCTTCCCCCTGCAGCCCCTCACCCCGCACCCTGTCCCCCCACCTGTCTCTGCAGCCGCTCCGTCTCCTCGCGCTCGGCCCGGGCTCTCTCCTGGGCCTCTCTCTCCTCCTGCAGCCGCCGCTCCTCGTCCCTGCGCCGCGCCAGGGCCTCCCTGCGGCTCTGCTCCTCGGCCGCCCGCTCCTCCTGCGCCCGCCTGCGGGAAGGGGGCCCTCAGCACGGCAGGGGGCCGGGGCCGGGGCCGGGGGCGCAGCACCCACCTCTCCTGCTCCTCCTGCTCCCGGCGCTCCCGCTCCTCGCGCTCCCGCTGCTCCCGGGCCTGGCGCCGCTTCTCCGCCAGCAGCCGCGCGGCCTCCTCGCGGTCCGTGGTGCCGGCGGGGGGTCTGGCTGGGGGCTGGCCGGCATGGGGCTGGGGGCTGCAGGGGCTGGGGGCTGCAGGGGCTGGGGGGCTGCAGGGTGCGGGCAGAGTTAGGGCTGCTCTGGCTCCCCCTGGCCCCACCGCCCCACGGCCCCCCGTACCCACCTGCTGTCGGCTCCACAGGCACCTTGGGGGGCTCGGGAAGGGCTGGGGGCGCCGGGCCCCGCTCCTCCTCCTTCCTCTCCCGTGCCTTCGCTGGGCCCTCCTGCTCCCCTCGCTCCTCCCGTGCCCTGGCCCGCACCTTGGGGGAGGAGTGGGCGCTGCGGGGCAGGGGGGGCTTGTGGGGAGAGCCAAGGGCTGGGCTGGGGGATGCTGGGCGGGCTTTGGGTGTGGCAGGGGACGAGGGACGGTTCTTGGGAGTGGCAGGGGATGAAGGGCGATTCTTGGGGGTGGCAGGCGACGAGGGACGGTTCTTGGGGCCCGGGCTGCAAACAGAGCAAGAGGTGGTGTTACTGGGGCTGGGGCAGCCCTTGGGAAGGGGTCAGGGGGCCGGGCAGCCTCGGTGGGGGTTCCTGACCTGCTGTCGGCTGCAGGCAGGAGCCGGGGCTGCGCTGCCGGCAGCGACTGCCGCTTCTTGAGGCTGCGCTCGCGGGACAGGGCGCTGCGCTCCTTGGCGTTCTCCCGGTCCTTCTCCTTCTTCTCCTTCTTCTTCTGCTCCACGCAGGGACAGACAGAGACAGAGACAGTGTCAGCGCCAGGTGCTCAGCTCAGCCAGGAGCTGAGCACCTGTGGCCCCCGGGGTCCCCACAGAGGTGGCACTCACGGGCGAGGGCTCTGTCCTGCGGCGTGGCGTCACGTCGGGGCTGGCGGTGGCCGCCTTCCGCCGCTCCCAGCACCGGTGCGGCAGCCGGTGGTTGTGGCAGGGGCTGAGGGGGCTGGCGGAGGCCGAGCGGGGGCACACGGGCACTGGGGAGGAGCGGCCACAGTCAGGGCAGAGCCAGCACCAGCACCAGCTCCCTGCTGGCCCCAGGCTCCCTCATCCCAGTCCCTGTCTGTACCAGGTGTCCCTGTCCCCTCCGGGCGCTCACCCTGCTCCTTGCCGTTCCCAGCCAGCGTCACGGCACTCCGGCTGCGCGCCAGGAAGGACAGGGTGGGCGTCATCAGCCGGTCCACGATGCTGCTCTCCCACGGGCTCAGCTGCAAGCTCCGGTCTGGGGAGGGAGAGGGGCCATCAGTGCACCCTGAGCCCCCAGACCCCATTCCAGCCCCATGGCCTCCCCTGCGAGGGAACAGCCGTGTGGCTGCGGCAAGGCCGGGGCACACGTGTGGTTCCAGGAGTGCCCAGAGCTCAGACCTGCTGAGGAGGGGTCCCCACAGCCCTAGATAGCTGGAAGGGTCCCCACGGCCTCACACAGCTGAGCAGGATGAGGGGCCATGTGGGTGCATGCTGGCCATCTGTGGGACGGCGCTGTGGCAGGACGACGATGTTGTCCCCGTGTCCCACGGACACCTCAGTCACCAGGTAGCACTCTAGTGACTCCAGCCCCTCCACTGCACCCTCTCCTCGTGCTTGGCGATGGTGTGCACCCTCTGTGCCCCTGCCCTGTGTGACCGAAGACTTGTCACGTGCCAGCTGCTGTGGGGACACCGCAGTGTGCCCTCACCCCGCGGGAGCTGTGCCGAATCACCGAGTGTGCCGCAGGAGCCAGGCCAGGCTCATGGCACCCTACCAGCCACACTACTGGCTCAGCTGGGCACGGGGCTGTCCTGGCTGCCCTCCAGTGCCTGTCACCAGCACCAAACACCCCACGGCGCACGGGAAGCACCCACAGAGACGGGGCCCTCTCATCGAGGGGCCAGGCCGGGAGCAGCACCAGCTGCTGGGAGGGGAGAGCACAGACCCAGGGGTGCCACAAGGGGACAGGCCTGGCAGCGGCCCAGGGAGATGCTGCTCCCACCAGGGCAGTGCCAACAGCCCCCGGGTGCTGCCCCTGGGCCGAGCCCCAGCGCGGGGCGGTGGGAGCCGCTGCGTCACCGCCGCCTCAGCTGCTCCGGCTATTTATACCCGGCCGGGAAGGCGCCCATCGCCAGGCAACCCTGAAACACAACAGCCCCGGCGCTGGACACGTCCCTCCGGCACAGCCGCGGCCTCGGGCAGCGCTCCCAGGGCCGGGACGACCTTGCAGCACCACGGCCACGGCGCTCCATGGCACCAGCCCCAGGAGCCGGTGCCCAGCCCCGGGCGGGTCGATGACAGGCAGCCCCTCTGTGGCTGCACCTGCACCCACCAGAGCTGCCCTGGGGCAGGGAGCCAGGCTCCCATCCCTATCCTGGCGCCTCATGGGGCTGCCAGCACCCAGCTGCTCCTCCTCCTCCTCCTCCTCCTCCTCCTCCTTTTCCCAGCCTGCACAGCCTCAAGGAGCTGCCAGCCGGTTCCAGCCTCCTCCTGCTAACAGCAAACGGCTTCTCCTCTCTCCGCGGGCACTGGGGGACAGGGGACCCTGGCCTTGGGGGTCCCCAGCGCTGGGCGGGGACTGGGCTGTGCCCCCTGCGCTGGGGCAAACGCAAAGGGCTCTTACTTCTACTGGGAGAGTTCCAGAGGGTGGCGGAGGATTTGGAGAGCCGCTTGTTGATTATAGAGTCGACGTGTTTGGGGAGGTTTACAGCGGACACCGAGCACCGGCTCGCACCTGGAGGAGGGAAAAGACACAAGGGCATTAAGGTCCCAGGGCCGGGGCCAGGCCCCCCACATGCAGCATGCACGGCTGTGCCGGGGCACTGGGGTGGGAGCGGGAGGACACGGCACAGAGTGGGGTCAGGAGATGCTGGAGTCCAGGGACACGGCACAGAGTGGGGCCAGGGAGATTCTGGAGTCCAGGGACACAGCACAGAGTGGGGCCAGGGAGATTCTGGAGTCCAGGGACATGGCACAGAGTGGGGCAGGAGATGCTGGAGTCCAGGGACACGGCACAGAGTGGGGCCAGGGAGATGCTGGAGTCCAGGGACATGGCACAAACTGAGGCCAGGGGAGATGCTGGTGTCTGGGGACATGACACGCAGCACTGGCATTCGTCATGGCAGTGTCCAAACCCCACAGGGTCATGCTGGGATCATGCAGGGATCTGATCCTTGGGGAGGCAGGGCTGCTCCTGGACCATGCTACAACAGTCTCCCCAAAAACAGTCCTGGGAATGGGGAGCAGGGTTACCAGAGATCTCGGCGGCACTGGCAAGCAGCCACCCTGGGGAGCAGGGTGAGGTCCAGACAGACACAAGACAATGTCACAGTGGTGCTGGGTCAGTATGGCAGTGCCATGAGGGTGCTGGTGGCTGGCAACACCTCCACAGAGTGCTGCAATCTCCCCAGGCTCCTCCAGACAAAACAGCCAGGGGAGCTCTGGGCTGGTGGAGGTGGGACATTGGTGAGTGAGAGCTGGCAGCAGCTCCAGCAGCACATCCCTGCAGGAGGTGGCAGGGGAAGGTGTCCTCTTGCCAGACCCTTCTGGGTGTTGCACCACAGACACGTGGGGCTGTCCCCAAGTGTGCCACACACGGCACCTGGACAGGTGTACCCAGAACGTGGTGCCTGTACACACAGCCCAGCCAGCTACACACGTGGCACCAGGCACGTGGTGCCAGTACAGAGAGCCTGGCACACAACATCTGTACACAGCCTGGCCAGGTACAACCAGGAACACAACACCTGCACACAGCCCCACCAGGTACAGCCGGGGCCACCACAGCCACCCCACAGCACGAGCAGGGCAGACAGACCCTGGGGACACAGCACTCCCCTCTCTGTCACCATCCATGCCAGACAGTGCCAGCACCTGCCAGCACAGCCCTGTACCCTCAGCAGTCAGGGGACAGCGGAGAACCTCCACATGCCCAACGCTGGTGCCTAATTGCTCGAGGTATCCCCGAGGATCCCCTAAAGAGCAGGGCCACCTTCTGCGGCCACACACACGGCCACGGTCACCCCCACGGTCACTGGAGCTGGAGGGGCCAAGCGCTGCCCCACCCAGCTGGGGGACAAAAGGACAGCACAGACCCCAGTCAGAGCCTGCAGAAGCCCTGCACAGCTCCACAGCCCCTGCCTGGCTCCTCACAGCTGCTGGAGGCCCAGCAGCATGGCCACAGCATTCCACGACAGGCAGGGCTGTCCCTAAACACGCTCCTGTGAGGAGCAGGGACCGTGCTGCACGGCCTCCGGCTGGCACCCATCCCCACCAGAGCAGGGGAAAGCCAAGGGACCCCAGGGGTCCCCAGCAGAGCCCGGGGTGCCAGCAGTGTGACCCCACTGCGGTGGGGCTGCGCTGGCTGTGACGGTCCGGCGGAGCCACGGGGTCCCAGGTGCCCACGGCCAGCCCGGCACTCACCGTCCTTGTGTGCGGGGGAGCCGTGGTGCAGGGCCCCAGCCCAGGACCAGCGCTGCTGCCGGATCTCTGCCCACGTCTTCTTGGCCGACCGCTGGATCGCTGCCTCGTAGCGCTCCTGCCCGAGGGAGAGGGACAGGGTGAGCCCGGCGGCTGCCGGAGCAGGGCTGGGGCCGGCCAGAGCCTCCCGGCGTGAGGCCACCTCAGTGCTGGGTGCTGGGAGGGAAACAGGCCAGCGATGCCCACCCTGGCCAGGGCACACGTGCCAAGGAGCAGGGCACCATGGAGGCTTTGCACCGTGAGGGATGGGGCACAGCAGAGGACAGCCACAGTGGGCAGCTCCCAAAGGGCTAACGAAGCATCTCCCAAAGCACTTCTGGAGCCATAAGGACTCCACAGGGATCACATCCCGCGTGCCGCCCCAGCCTCCCGCCCACTGCACCGTGACCCCCATTCCCACCTTGTTCTTCTCCAGCTTCTGCCTCTGCCGCTCCTCCAGGACCGCCCGGCGCTTCTCCGCCCGCAGCCGCTGCTCCTCCAGCCGCTTGCGCCGCTCCTCCAGCTGCTTCTCCCGCAGCAGCCGGGCCTTCTCCTCCTTCTCCAGCCACAGCACCCGCTTGGCAGCTGCGGGGGGCAGCGGGGTCGCACCCGAGGCACAGCCCTGGGCAGCCCCGCGGCAGGGCTGTGTGCCCGAGCCGGTGGCGCGGGGCCGTGGGGCAGCGGTGGCCGGGGCACGCGGCGGCATCAGGGCCGGCCGGCCAGCGAGGGAGGGGTTTGGGCCAGGACAAAAGGGAGGCCGGGAGCCCGCCGGGAGCCCGCCGAGCCGCGCGGTGAACAATGGGGGAATGAGGGTGGAAAGAGCGCGGGGACAGGGAGGCCCCATGCGCGCGCGGGGGCCCCGCTCGCCTGGCGCCCCGAGCCACTGCACGGCTGCCTGGGGCTGCTGCACGCACAGCTGGGCACCGGGCTGGTGGCACCTGCACAGACCAGGGGGCACCCGTGTGCCCAGGGCTCAGCGGTGTGCCCAGGGGTCAGCACCGTGCTGGGGAGGCAGAGATGCCGGCACTGCAGCGCCCGCTCGGGCTCAGCCCACCACAGCTAATGGGATTGCCCATGACCCGGCAAAGCTCCTTTAGCCCCTGCCTCCCCCCAGACACTTTCCCTCCTGCCCCGCAGCCCCCTCTGCTCTCCAGCCCCATACCCAGGTACTTGGCCCGCTCCTCACGCCGCTCCTTCGCCTGCTTGTGCCTCGCCTGGGCTTTCTGGGCATCTGCAGTGGGGAGACATTGTCAGGGTATTGCCTGGCCCCTGTGGGCATCAAGCAGTGCCCGTGGGCTGCAGCATCACTGGGGAACCCCAACAACCCTGGCACCCACCTTGCTTGGGCCGGGGGCTGGCGGCAGGAGATGGTGAGGGGCGGTCACTCCGGGGGGCCACGTCCTTCGAGGGCCCGGCCGTGGCAGGCGGGGGGCTCTTGGCATCGGGGGGAGCCCCTTCACTGGCAGCTGGGGCTGGGGTTGGGCTCCCACGGGGCAGCGTCTCCGCCGGGCACAGGGCGTGGACGGGGCCCGGCTGTTCGGCAGCATGGGGCGATGCCTCTGCTTTGGGGTGCTCCGTCCCAGGGGGCTTGGGGGGCCCGGGGGGGGACTGGTCACACCAGGGGGGGACACTCTCTGCTGAGGGGGCCACAGCCGCAGGGCTGGGGGACATGGGCTGTCCTGACGGTGTGGCGGCTGGAGGGACAGGACGGTCACGCTGCGGGGGGCTGCTCTCGCAGGGGGGCATCACAGCTGGGGGGCACACGGGCTGCTGGGAGGGGGGCACGGCTCCAGGGCTGGGCAAGACGGTCTTTTCGGAGGGGGTGACGGCTGCAGGGACGGGTGGGACGGTCTTTTCGGAGGGGACGACGTCTGGAGGGGCGGGTCGGTCGCGCTGTGGGGGGGTGCGCTCTCTCTGCAGGGCATCCCCGGGCGAGGGGGGCGGCGAGGAGGGGGTGGGCACGCTGTCTCCCATCGGGGACGGTGGCTTCCCTGCAACAGGGACAGAGCAGAACAGAACAGTCTCTCAGTGGGGGAGCCCGGGGCACCCTTGTTCTCCCCAAGCAGAGCCCTCGGGGGGCACGGCCCTGTGCTCCCCAAACACAGCCCCCAGGAGCAAGGCTGCCCCTGGGTTCCCCTCTGGAAGGCAGTGAGACCCCCACCTGGGGGGCACCCATGGCGGGTGCCAGGCGCTGGGCACACAATGCACAGAGGGAGCGGCCGGCCTCTGCCAGGCACTGCCACCACAAAGCTGCCCTTCATCCCCCGGCAGCTGCCACTCAGCCCTGCCGTGGGGGGACATGGGGCCGGAGACCCTCCAGAGGCACAGGGACCCCGCTGCTGTCCCCGGAGGAGGGGGACGGAGGGGCTTCCGCCAGCACTGGCAGCGCGGCAGAGGCAGGATGGGCGCGGGCCCCCTGACGTCACCAGCCCACGGCCCCCGCTGGACCCGCAGCCATGAACTCACGGCCCAGGAATGCACACGAGGCCGCGGCAACGCAGCCCCCTCCCCGCGTGGGGCCGGCCAGGGGCTGGGGGGGCACGGGGACACTCTGTGCCCCTGAGGGGGGATCGTCCCCCACCCTGGCCAGCCCCGGGGGACCCCGAGGGAGCCGCTGTTTGTGCCGATGCGGTGCCAGCGCCCGGCGAAGCCGTGGCACGTGCCCTCTGCAGGAGTGGATGTGCCACAACTTCCCACAGTGCCACAGCAGTGGTGGCCTCCCTGGCCCCCGTTATCAGCCCTCTGCAAACAAACCTTCCAGGCACGTGCCGGGGTCCCAACCCCGACACCCACACAGTGGGCAGCACCATCACTCCTGCCCAGAACCATGCCTGACCCATGCCAGGGCACCCAGCTCCAGCCCCACTGGCACCGCTGCAGTGTGAGTCCCCAGCTCTGGGGGCTGGGATGGCAGGACCCCAGTGACCAGCACCTGCCGTGGGCTGATGTCACACGCCGGGTCAACCGTGTTTGCAGAGCTCTCCACAGCCCTCAGCGAGGGGCAAAGTGTGGGCTCTGCAAACACGGCCGGCGCCATCCTCACCCAGCCCATGGCTCCTCACCCAGCCCATTGCTCCTCACCCAGCCCATGGCTCCTCACCCAGCCCACGGCTCCTCACCCACCCCACGCCAGTGCCAGATGAGCCAGGGTCAGCCCCCCGTGTTGCAGACATGGGCACACCACAGGTCCCATGGGAGCTCCCCAGGCCAGGGCTGTGCCAGCTGGGTTCCCCCACCCCGGGCTCTGTGGGGACACAGCCAGCCCCAGCCCCCCCGCAGACCTTCCGGGTATTTTGTGCTGCAGGAAGCCGGCCCATCCCCTGGCCCCAACCCTGCACATCCCAACTCCCCAGTGCTGTGCCCTGCGGGGTGGCCATTGGTCCCATGCAGGGCTGGGACTACACTGGGGCTGCAGCTGAGGGGGTCCCCCGCCCTCTCCCCCAGGGCTGCCCCAGGTGGGCACCCACAGGCAGCGGGGCTCGGCAGCCCCCAGGTGCCAGATCCCAGGATAGTACCTGGGGTGGCACCGCTTGTGTCCCAGCTGGGAGGGGTGACCCCAGGAGCACTGCTGTGGCAGCCAGCCTGCGGGGCTGAGCAAAAAGCACCAGGGCCAGGCTGATCCTCCGAGCAGACAGAAATACCTGCCGGAGCCACGGGCGTGCAGGGAGCACTGGCGGGGGACAGCGGGTGCCTCCTGCCACGCCACACAGCCTGGCACAGAGCCCTGGGCAGGATCTGTCCTGCCCCGGTGGCTGGAGAGACGGCAGCACCCATGGCCAGGGCAGGGCAGTGGGCACGGCCAAGACCTCCAGGCACGGCCAAGACCCCAGCGCGGGGCCGGGCCAGCCCTGCTGCCATCTGTCCCTGTCGCTGCTCCAGCGCGGCAGCTGCCCTGAAACCCAACGCTGCCTGCACCCAGGCAGCGGCGCGGGCGTCCCCTCTCCCCCGGCCAGGGCATTCCACAGGGATTAGCTCCCGGCCCCCCAGACACGCAGGCACGGCCGCCCCGCAGCCCCCAGTCCCGGCAAGCCCACTGGGACGGCAGAACTGGTCCCGCTGCTGGCACCGGCACAGGGCCGTGCCCGGCTCAGGGCGAGGCGCTGCCCTCGACGCTGCGGCGCTCAGCCCATCCCGCCCCTCCCGCGGGTCCCACTGGTGCCAGTGCCTGTGCCACCGAGCACCAGTGGCACCTCCAGCAGGGCCGTGCCCGGCACAGCGCGGTTCCATGGCTGGCACATGGCCGGGGATGCTCAGCCAGGCGGAGGCAAATCCCCGGTGCCGTGAAGCGAGAGCACATCGAGGCCCGCGGGCGCCGCTCGGACCAGCGGCCCTCGTTAACCGTCCGCCACACATCCCCGCAGGGCACTGCCCATGAGGACAGGGGGGGCACCCACCTCGTGTCACCTCAGCTCCCCCCAGCTCCGTATCCTCGTGTTCCCGCTCCACGGCACAGCCGGGGCCGCCACGGGCTGCTCCACGTGTGGCACCCAGCGGGGCGGGGGGCATCAGCCAGCGCCCACCTCTGCCCTGAGGGCATGAGGAGAGCAGGGCTGGTGGGTGCAGTGGGGGTCAGTGGTGACCCCTGCAAAGCCACACAGAGGTACTGGTGTGACAGTGCCCAGCCACCCTGGCAATTGCACCGGTCCCTGCCGTGCCCAGGGACATGACCCCAAGGGGACCCCCAGCCCCGAGTGTCACTGCTGGCCTTGCAGGGCTGCTCCCCACTGCCCATGGGGACACCCACGTGCCCAGTTGCATCCCCCAACTCAATGGCAGCCCTACGGCCACCTGGAGGAGAGAAAAGATGGGTCCCAAGGTCTCCTGTTTCCAGCAGGTCCCAGTGCCAAGCAGGGAGGCAGCTGTGGCCTCTGTGTTCTGGTGCCCACCCTATCTGAGGCCACTGGAGTGCCCTGGAGTGCACGGGGGGTGCTCCAAGTGCTGGCACTGCCCGATCCCACTTCTGCCTCAACCTGTCTCGGACGTGCCTTGGGGCTGAGCCCTGCTGTGATACAGCACCCCTCACACCTGAATGACAGGGCAGTGAGCAAGTGCCCTTAACACATCCCTGGCAGGTCCCTGGCACATCCCCAACATGTTCTCAGCATGTCCTGTCTGCAGGCACAGCACTGACACACACCCTCAGTCCCAGCTCACACGCCTGGGCAGGGAGACGTGGACAGTGCCAGCAGCCCCCACCTCGGGGGCAGCCAGTGCCACCCTGGCAGCCGCCATCAGCAATGACACCCCGTCCCCCAAGGGACAGTCACCCCCAGCCTGTCCCCAGGTACACGGGCACTGTCACCCAAGGCTGGCTCCTCTCCCCGCCAGCTCGGAGCCAGTGAAACACAGATGGCAACACCAGGGCAAGCCGAGCATCAGCCCACGGTGCCCCACCACTGCCCACAGCATCGCTTCGGGGACAGGCAGGGCAGGAGGGGCACAGGCAGCAGGGCAGCTGGGAGGGCACAGCCAGGTGCCCGTGGTGGGTGCCAGGAAGAAGGAAGAGGCATCCAGCCCCCCTTCCCGAGGCCCGTGCCCTGTCAAGGTTCTGGGATGGGGTGTGGGGAGCAGCCATGGGGGAACCGCACCAACCCCTGGGCCAAGGCAGAGATCACCGAGCTCCCACGGCACAGCCGAGCTGGTGGTGACGTGCCGAGCTGGAGAGCAACAAGGGGAACTTGGGATCTCGTGGCCAGAGCACAGCCAGAGCTGCTGGGGGGTTTCCAGGGTTTAAAATACACGCGGAGGAAAGAGCTGGAGCTGCTGCCGCACCCCGGCACCCCCAGAGCAAACTGTGACTGTGGTCACAGCGCAGCCCCAAGCAGCCCAAGGGCAGGGGCAGGAACACCTGCCCACCATCCATCTGGGCACAGCAGCAGTGGCGACAGGAGTGCCCTCGTCCTTGGGGTGACCCGTGTGGCACCGTCAGTGCCGAGGGCAGCTGGCCCAGCCACAGTCCTGAGAACCTGTCTGCCAGCATCACACTGGGAAAACAGAAACCTGGCTGGAAGGCAGGGCATGGGATCCAGCCCTGCAGGGAGCAGGTGCTCAGCACCCCCCAAAAAACAGGGCCTTGCGCCTCGCAACGCGGATGCGGCACCTACCAGGGCTGGGGCCGTGCAGGATCCTGCTCCGCTCCCGGCAGGCTGCCTGTGGTGCTGCCCTGCCCTGTTCGGAGCCCTCCGAGGAGCGAGAGCTGTGCTAACTATTTTGGACGTGGCACCACGGGACTGTCACATCACCGCTCCGCACGTCGCATCACGTTGCTCTGACGGTTTCGCAGAGCGGCTCCCGCGCTGGGAGAGCTCCCGAGCTGCTGCTCCCAAACACAGGCGCTGGCGGGCAACCAGCTCAGCCTCCCTCTCCACCGTGCCAAGGGAGAAGGGTTGGAGAAGCCAGGGGAAGATGATAAGAACAGACCCCTGCCTGCTCCCCACCTTGGTCCTCGTCCCTCTGCCCGCCGCGTCCGCTGCCCACCTGGGCCGCTCCGCAGGGTCACACCCTGCCCTGGATGCCCTCTGTGAGTTCCTGGCCTCCAGTGCCGCTGGCTAACCCCACACCATAGTGGGACCCGGTCCCGGGAGTGAAATCCTGTCCCCACTGGCAGGCAGGACACGGCACACCAGGGGGGCCAGGGCACTGGGTGGCAAGACAGGGAGCAGCCAGGGCTGCCCAGCCACATGGGTCACCCACATGGGACGAGTCACGGATGGTCCTTGAAGAAGGACATGGTGCAAAACCGCCTGTACTCCTCTAACACCACCCTCTGCTCGCGCTAGAGCTGCCAGCGATCCACCCTGGGGGTGTGTGGGGGGACCAGGGTGGCCGGGAGCAGCCAGCCCTGGTCCCCCACGGTCCCGGGCAGTGCCGCGTCGAGCGGGCAGGGCACGGCGGGTGGGGAGGCGGCGAGCGGGGCTCAGACAACATGTCTGGCGCAGGACGCGTCGTTCGGGCAGTGATGCCGGGAACGGCGGCCGGCTGGTGCAGGAGTCTCCGGTTTTCAGCATCGCCGGGAGCCGCAGCCATTCCGCTCCTCCCGCCATCCCTCCCTTTCCGCGGGCCAGGGCCGTGGGCGATGGAGCACAGGGGCCGAGGGGGAGGGGAGCCGCCTCTGCTCTTCCTCCCGCGGTGGGAAGCGGCTCGGCCGCGGAGCTCTGCTTAGTCACAGCGAGAGCTGCGCTGGAGCCCCGGGAGGCAGCGCCAGCCCCGGCTCCGGCCCCAAGCGCGGCCCCGCCGCCGCCGCCCTCCCCGGTTCATCCTGGGGCAGCGGGACCGGCCCCGCCGGGACGAGCCCCGAGTCCACGCGGCGGGGCGAGGGCGGCCCCGGGCGGGCGGGGGGCAGCGGGTGGCTCCTACGGGGGGCATCGCCCACCGGCCGGCGGGGACGAGCCGGGGCAGCGCCGGCGCCGCCGCCCCGGGGGCTCCCCAAGGGCAGCCTCTCCGCACCCCCCCGGCGGCGGGGCCGGGGCCGCTCCGGCCCACCCCAAGATGGAAGGGCCGTGCCCGGGCTTGTCCCTCCCGGGAAGCCGCCCCGGCCCCGACAGCGCGTTTTCCCCCGCGGCTCCACCACCGCCGCCCCGGGCCGCCGCCCCGCTCCGCTCCGCCGCATCCCGCCAGCCCGGCTGCCGCCGCATCCCCACCGGCACCGCCGGCCGCATCCCACACCCCGGCGGACCCCACAGCCCCGGGTCGCATCCGCAGCCCCCTCGGCCGCATCCGCACCCCAGCTTCGTGCGGCCCCGCGGTGCGGGAGGGGGCCCCAGGCGCCCACCGGAGCCGGTACCGGAGGCGGTGCCGCCGCGAATCCTTACCGAGGGGCTGGGGCTGGGGCCGGGGCTGCGGCTCCCGCCCGGCGCGGCTCCGCTCCATGGCGCGGCAGGCGCAGGGGCTGGCCCAGCCCCGCTCCCCCCGGCCCGCGGGGGAGGACGCTCAGCGCTCCCCGCCCCGGCCCCGCGGTCCCGGCCGGGGGGAGCGGCCGGGGGATGCTCCGCCTCGCCCCGGCTCCAGGCGCGGCCCCGCAGCCCCGAGCCGGCGCCGCTCCTCCCGCAGCCGGAGCTGGGACCCCGCGCCCGTCACCGCGGCCTCGGGCCTGCCCCGCCGCCGGTCCCCGCGGTGCACGGTATCCCCCGGCTTTGCTCGGCAACTCGCCCGTCTTCAGCCCCTCCTCCCCCAGATTTGGGGCTCGCACACACATTTCACATTGCTTCGGTCACCCGCGAAGCGCTGGCCCCGCAGCGGCCACCGCCCGCCCCGGGCAGCCCCGCGATGCACAGCCAGCGCCAGCGGGATCAGCTGCCCCAGTCCCAGGCACCCCAAAAAGACACGGATTTCCCATCCCCGAGCCCCACCTCAGCTGCTCGAGAGGCCTTGGAGCTGCTGCTCCCCCTCCCCGTCACATGTGAGCCTTAATCACCGCCAGCAGCCGCCCCCACTCCCAGGGCTGCCCCCCGCATCCCACCCTGCCCCGGGAACCGGCAGAGAACAGAGGCCTCTCCCACTCCCCGGGCAGGGGCAGTGGCCCCGCTCAGGGGTGAAACCCCTCCTGGCCCGCAAGGAGCAGGGATGGGCTGGGAATGCTGCCCCGTCCCTGCCCAGGCAGAGGCATGGCCAGGGCAAGGGGGTATGTGGGCAGCACTAGCAGTGGGAGGAACATGGATTCAGGCTCTGAAGGGGCAGCAGGAGCCAGGGACACGTCCTTGTCCACCACGTGGCCAGTGTGCTCTGGGCATCCTGCACAGTGCCCGGGTTCACCGGGATGTGTGGATCAACAGAGCCAGTTTCCTGCAGGCAGCACCCATCAGAGATGCCTGTTTTGGGGATGATGTAACCATGGGCCAGGAGATCCCCTGCAACTCATCCTCCCTCACCTACCAGGCAAACAGGTTTCCCAAAATCCCAGCCCTTTCCTCTGGAAGCGTATTCCCCTGACTCAGAAGTGGGGAGCTCCTCAGCAGACAGGGTAGTCCCACTCTGTGATGCTGCAGGGGTGACTTTACACCCCAAATCATCCCAAAGTCACCACCTTCCCACAGCCCCCAGTCCTGTGCCGTCTCATCCAGCTCAGCCAGAGTAGAGGCTTCCTGAAACTCCCAGAGCCTCACCCTCTGGCTGACTCCCTGCTGGGGAATGCTGTGTGGCCAAGCCCTGGCTCTGGGAGCTGGGCACCCCAGGGAGATGGCAGGGAACAGGGGTGCATGGCACACACACAAAGGACTTGGCAGAGCAGGGCTGGGGCCACCCCATGACCTCTCCAAGGGTGCCCTTAGGTGGCTTTGCCTGGCAGGGCCACGTCCCTGTGGATCCTACAGCATCACCCAGAGTGGACAAACATCCTGAGACTCCAGGACAGCCTGGCACTGGGGCCAGCCATGCCTGAGGTCCTTCTCCCCACAGCAGAGCCAGCCTGGAGCGGGGGGCACAGTAGGGAAGGGGCAACTGTGAGAGTACAGGGCCTGTGGCCATGCTCTGACAGCATTCCCAGTGTGGGCAGAAGCACAGAGGACTCGTGGCCGCCACACCAGCCCAAGTCAATGGGCTTATACAAGCAGGGCATCGACCAATTGCTCCGCTGCAGGCAGAGCCCTGCTGTGTCGGGGTTCCTGGGTCCAGCCCCCCCAGTCCTGTGGTGCTGGGAACAGCCACCCCCCCTGCACTGATGGAAAATCCAATGAGCTCATGATGAGCACAGAGCCCAGCCCCAGCAGCTGCACGTCCCAGCACTCCCTGTGCTCCTCACCCCGTGGCGTGGGGTGCAGCACTGCCATGGCTCCCTCAGGGCAGCCTGGGGAGGGGGCTGCAGCCTGGGGAGGGGGCTGCACCCTGCAGCCATGGTTCTGGTCTCCTCAGCATGCCTCGACACTGCTGGTGGGGACCCAACGGGCTGAGCACCCCAAAGTCAAAGGACAACTACAGATACAGCTCGGCCCTGTGAGCCGGGAGGCTGGGAGCAAACAGGGATGAGGATAGCAAACAAACCCCGCCAGCACCTCTGGGCAAAGTATTGCGTGGGACACCCCATCCCACCCGCTCCCCACCCCTCTGCCCCCACCTCTCTCCTCATCCCCAGGACTTTGCCCCAGCCCCAGGCTGCTCCCACGCTGCTGCTCTGTGGCACTGTGGCCATGAGGGCTAATCTGAAGCCTTGTCCCCCAAACGCTCCAGCTGACCCCCACTAGCCCTGGGGCACTGACCCTGCAGGACCCTGGGGGCGAGTGTCTGTCCCTGTGTCCTGTCCTGGGCTGATGGGTACGGCAAGAGCCCGTCACCAGCAGCGTGCCAGGGCAGCCACCAGCCCCTCGGCATCTTGCCGTGGGGCCACACTGTGGCTGGTGGCAAATCCCGACTGCTGCAGGACAATCCCCCGTGGGTGCTGGTGACAAATGGGCCAGCGATGGGCTGAGCCCTGCCCTGCCCATGCCCGCTCTGTAATTATCCCAAGCCGTATCTGTAATTAGTGTCCTGATGTCATAGGGTCAGGCCTGGGCAGCCCCACGCGCTCCCCGCCACCCCCACCTTGGCCTCTGGCCCCAGGGCTGAAGGAGATCAGAGTCCTCCAACACCATCCGGAGGAGTTCCTGCCTGGCTCCAGCTCCCCGCCAGCACTGCTGCAGGAATCCTATCCTGGCCCTGTCCCACAGCCCCTAAGCTGCTGTAGGGCTGGATCTGCCCCTCTGACCAGCACAGGGCTCGGTTGCTCCCACTGCTGCACCTCTGCCCCGGCTGCACGGCTGAATTCTGCCAGGGACAGACCCTGCCTGCACAAGAGAGAGGCCAGCCTGCCCTCCCGAGCCTCCCAGGGCTGCCAGTGACCCGCTCCCTCTGCACAGGGAATGTGCTGGAGCAGCCCAGCAGCTATAAATAGAGCGGGAGGCACAGGCATGCGTGGCCACGGCACACACTGCCCGCTGGCTGGTGTGGGGCATGGGCAGGGGCTGGGGTGCAGGGGGTGGGACAGGGATGGGAGGAGGGAGAAAGCCCAAGGCAGAGAAAGGGCACTGCGGTCCTGCTGCAGGAGGATCCCAGCACTGTGCCAGGGGGACAGAGGGGAGGAGGCCCCACAAAGCTACCACGGAGCACCAGCACTTTATTGCAGGGCAGACAACCCCCGAGCTCCCCGTGGCACACCTCGCACCCCTTCCCTCGGCCAGCGCCCCGCTGCCACCGCACCCTCAGCACCCACGCAGGGGCCGGGCCGCGCCGGTGACGCCGAACCGCGCGCTCAGCACCTCCGAGGGCGCCCGCACCCGCTGGCCCGGCTGCTGCCCCCCGGCAAAGAGGGTGAAGGTGCCGGGCTCCAGGCGCCACTCCTGCGCCCACACCGCGCGCTGCTCGGCCAGCACCTGGAAGGACAGCTTGGTCTCCCGGCCGGCCAGCACGGCCACGCGCCGGAAAGCCACCAGCTGCCAGCGCGGCACCGGCACGGAGGACTGCTCCCAGCGCAGGTACAGCTGCACCACCTGCCCGGAGGGACAGCAGTCAGTGCCACAGGGACCCCTCAGCAGCCCCCTGGCAGGAGGGAGCCAGGGCACATCGGTGCCCGTGCAGCCCGCGCAGTGCAGAGCGGCCGTGCCCACCTCCTCGCCATCGCGTGGCCCCGTGTTCTCCAGCACCACAGACACCGTGAGGTTGGCACAGACAGGCAGCACCGAGGGGCTCAGCACCAGGTCCCGATAGTGGAAGGTGGTGTAGGAGAGCCCATACCCGAAGGGGTAGAGCGGGGCCTCCTGCCCATAGTACCGGTACGTCCGTCCCTCCATGGTGTAGTTCTCCATCGGCGGCACCTGCGGGACACAGGGCAGTGGAGCAGGGCAGGGCTGGGCGGCCATGGGCAAGCAGTAGCCCTGCATCCCGCCACCGCTATGGCCACTGAGGCAGGAGAGGGCTACAGGTGCCACCAGCACCCCCACCTTACCTGGTGCATGCCCGCGGGCCACGTGGCTGGCAGCCGCCCGGCTGGGTTGGCCCCTGCCTCGCCCAGCAGGACCCTGGCGATGGCCAAGCCAGTGGCCTGGGCAGGGAAGAAGCAGGCCAGGATGGCCCCCACACCATCGTGTGCCTGCGCCCAGCTCACGTCCAGGGGCCCCGCGTTGAACAGCAGCAGGATGACGGGGCGCCCGGCGGCTGCGGGGAGGTGACTGTCACTGAGAGCCCTGCACTGGCACTGCTGGGACGGCTCTGGGGTGTCCCGTGGATGGGGAACTCCTGGGAGGGTTGTGGCCCCACTCCCTGGGCCCCACAGAGCCCCTACCTGCCTGCACGGCGTCCTGCAGCAGCTCCAGCTGGTGCCCCGGTAAGGACAGGTCACTCCGGTCCTTCGCCTCTGTCTCCACATCCACCCCTGCGTGGGGAGAGCCAAGGGACAGCCCCTCACACCCACCCGGGGCACTGCAGGCACACAGGGCAGAGGGGCACTGCCTGCCTCAGAGGGAGCTCTTGGGCCCCCCTTCTCTCCCAGAGCGCTCCCCTTGCCCTGGCAGTGCCCACCCGGTGCTCCCACCTACCTGTGCCCAGGCAGACCACCACCACATCGGCCGCCCCCGCCGCCCTCACCACCTGTGCCCGGGAGTACCGCTGGCACCGGGGCTCGCCGCAGCCCGCCGCAAAGCTGACGTTGGCCCCCAGCATCTCCAGCCCCCTCCTGTGCCAGGGAAGAGCAGAGGGCACGGGGGCTGCTCTGCCCCAGGCTCGGGGCACATTGGGAACGTCCCCCTTGGCCTGGCCCCCAGCAAAGGGACGAGCAGCTCCGGCAGCAGCCCCAGGCAGTGCCCAGGACAAGCACACACGAGGTGGCACCGCGCTGTCTCACCAGGGAGTGTAGATGTACTGAGGCTCTGGCACCGGCGCGTAGTCCCCAAACAGCACCCTGGGGTTGTCGGCGAAGGGACCCACCACCTGTGGAGGGCAGATGGGTGACGGTGGGCACTGGCAGCCCTGTGCCACCTGT